TATCTATATATATATATATATATATATATATATATATAGATAGATAGATAGAGAGAGAGAGAGAGATAGTTTCTAGCTAAGAAGCTTAAAGCTTCTTATTTAATGCAAATGAAACTTTGTAGTAGTGCCTAAAAATTATATACATATAGTTCAATGTTTTCAACTTACAGTGTGAACTTAGTAAAATTATTTCTCCTGTCTGTGAAACTTTCTTCAATGCACATTATATAAAACAACTTGAAACTATCAAACGTAAAAAGAAAAAACACTTGAAATTGTTGACTGTTTTGTAACTTGCAGGAAAAAGTCTTTGTTGGAGAAGTTCAGATAATGCAGAATATATTGCCAATGAAAATAGAAATGAGTAAGTTGTATTATTCAAATTGTTCAAATTTCTATTTGCATTAAATGAAGGTGTTAATATCTCACTCATAATGAATAATAAAGTTGTTGTAGAATTTCAAATATTGCAGAAATATACATTCTTTATACATTCTAAAAAGAGAGCATATATCAGTCATAACTTGAATAATAAGCTTTAGAAAATAAAATAGTGTGAACATTTTTTATGTGAGTCTTAGAAAATAGTAACTTGTTTACACCATTATTATAAATTTATTTAAAAAACTGACTTATTTGTTTGTTTTTTCTTATTTACAAGTTTAATGTAATTAAATGTACATGTTTCTTTCAGCAGGATTTCTGCAGTTTCTACCAGCAAGACTTCTAGCCGCCTGGATCATTTACATCCATTAACTTATTCATGTCCCATACTACCAAGTGAAACTTCTCTTGTTACAAAGTCAACCCAGACAGAACCATTAGTTACCAGTTTAAATGAAAATTTTGGAACTGCTTTAACGTATAATGTTCCAGTGCCTAATAAGATGTGCCAAAATGAGTATTTGAATCAGAGAATTAGCACTTGCACATTTCCTGAGAAGGAACTTCAACATCCTCATGTTCCTACTATAGGAATTTTGCATAATACTGATGCACAAGAGGGAAAGTTTTCTCCTGTTTCACCATTTGTTTACAGGAACCGAAGTTTTAGCTTCATTTCAGCTATTAAAGAAGGCAATAATGATATATCATGTTGCGAAGAGGCAACTAGTACTGAAAAATTAGAATGTGATACGACTTCAATAAAACCCTCTCATGAACCTCAAAAATTCCAATCAGTTCCAGTAAAATTAGATGATGTGAAATGGTTTCGACATCCTAAAGAAAACAATGAGTCATTACCCGGAGAAGCTAGGTTAGTATGTCATTCTGCAATTAAATTAATCTTCATTTTGCATGCCCCAAAATAAAATTATTGACAATGTTAAACATATTTATTAACTTTAAACATAGCTTCCACTCATGCTCTCCCATTACTAAAAGCCTTCACAGTTAAGAGGGTAGCTACATGTAATTCTGATATTTATGTCCACTAAGTGATGACACTCCGTTATATATATTACATTAGAAATGTTTATCTAGTTTATGAGTATTGGATATCTTAATAATTTATATTCTGGTTTCTTACAAATTCTATGGTTAAACCTTTGTAATTGCTAAACTATTTGACATTTTACTACCAACTGGCATACTTTTAATCTTTTAAGAACATTGGTTTACAAAATATTTTTCCTTTCTGAAGAGTTTGTGTAGTTTTAGAGCATACATGTTTTATAAGTTATTTTCCTGTGTAAAAAACAAATGCATCATCCATTATTATGTTGTTAACTGCTTGGCTTTTTCAGTGTATTGCATGGTCATTATGTTGTTTGTAAAATATCGTAGTCAAAAACATTAATCAGTGAGAATGAAAGCTAATGCACCTTATACACATAAGGTAACTAGTTTTTGATTTTATGCTGTTTATATTCTCTAGTAAAAATTAGCATTATCAAAACATTTAATGCCCATAATTTTTTTATAAGTAGTTTTAGTCGCAGATATTTCTTCAGCTCATGAAATAATAGCAGTTGTACAACACCTGTCAATAAACATGCTGACCTCATATTTAAATATATTAATACTGCTACATTGCTCTTAGTTGTGTGTATGTATTGTCTTTATCTGAAGGATTATTTTACAGGGTAAAAACAAGCACTCTCTAGATAAAATTTCACTTGCCTACTTCTAAAATGAAGGAGTTTCAAAAGTCATTTACCACCTAAGTGGTTTTATTTTTTACTAAAGATAGAAAAGAAGAAAAACTAATGTTTAAAAAAATACAAAACTCTTAGGTATTACAGTTATAGATATAACTAAAACACTTAACTTTTCTCACCTGGTTTTTAATAATCAGGAAACATTAAGGATGCTTCTATGTCCTAAATAGCATGTATTTACAAAATTAAACTATGTTTCATTGTTGAGTAACTGAAATGGATGGCAACTTCCTGTTCTAAAAAACACAAGTGTAGAGGATGACGTTTTAAAAGTCTTTCATCTTCAGGTGGAAGACTTTCAAAACACCATCCTCTACGTATGTGTTTTTAACAACAGGAAGTTGCCATCCATTCCAGTTTACTCATCAGGAATACTCTGCCTAAACAAACTATCACAGAACATGTTGCACTGATTTAAAGACTAGATGCAAAATAACAGTTTTTTTTGTCAAATCATATTCATATATATTAAGAGAATGGTTGATGAATTAATATTAGCACTTAATGCAACATTATTCACACTGCAAGCATGAACTGTCTTAAAAGTGTTTATTTTAAACAGATTAGTGCTTAGAAGGGTTTTCAATTAACAATGAGAAATAACATAGTTACATGACAGTGTTAATGTTTTTGAGGTAAGCTTTTTTTCCTTTTTAAATCAGTTATCTGATAATAATTATTACTACTATATTTTAAAAGGAATATCAGCTAAGATATGGATATGAAACAAAATAATTAATGTAATTTCTTAATCAATTTTCCTATTTGCTGGTTTAAGTCATACACATTACTTGGTTCATCATAAGTTTCCATTTGTATAGCTATATAATAATTCAATAAAAAATGCTAAGAAATTGTTACCCATATAAAGTAGAGTTTGAATCTGGGTTTTCAGTAGTCTAAGAATATGTAAAATAGTGAGCTATTAATACAATAGTACTTTAATTCTTAATTATTTTTTTGTGTCCCAAGAGAAACTCGTTCTCTGTAAGAATCATTAGGCCTGCATTGAATACTGCTGAAAAGCAGTAATTGTTATTAAAGAAAGTCAAGTTATGATGAGAGAATATCGCAAGAAAGAATTAAATTTTTTTTTCAGCCCTTGGTATGCACACATGTGTGTGTATACTTATGTGATGATTTTACTGACATGATATTATAAATGTTTGGCTCTAACATTTATAAATGATGTTGAAGAATATATAAGTTGTATTGGGACTACTTTCATCATTGGTGGAATAAATGTTTAAAAAACAGGTATAAAATTTATTAAATCTGCGATATTTTTAGAGGGTTTTTTACTAGGTAACATTCACTACTTCACAAACAGTCATTATTCTGTAGTTTCTTATGACAGACTGCACAAATAGTGGTTAGCTTGTGTTATTAACTGTTGGACATTATGTCTTAGTGTTTGAGTGATGTGTTATTTATTTAATAGTACTATTCAAGAAAATTATCCAGTAACATTTTCTTCTTAAGAACTTATGCATGCTTAAAGGATGGTGTATACAACTCAATTTGTAAACATAGTACAGCAACAGTATTGTCTATTTATATGGAAGCTTAACAGTGTAATAAGTGAATCTCAGGTGAGTTGAATTAAGTTAACTTTTTTTTTGCTGGGTTTTTTAATTGGCACTTTCAAAGACTAGCCTTGGAATATACTTTTCAGATAAAACCCATAAATATGCATTTTTGTATAATCACTTGGATATAGATAATGAAATTAATATATCAAAAGATCTGTCCTAAATAATACTACTTGTTGTAATGTGACCTTATGATGAAGTTCTATACATAACTTGAATATTTTACTTTTCTGTTTAAACATTAATATTCAGCTTTTTCACCAAATTACCAGTACTTGTTCTCCTAGCAAATTGGAGAAAAGAAGTTACGAAACAGCAAGTAAAACTGTATATTCACCACAACCCCAGAGTATGAATGTGAGCAGAACTGTGGAAGAATTCAGCCAGAAGTTGCCAGCACCAGAAGAAACACCTCTTGCAGAAAATACCTGTGGTTATGAAAATGGAAAAAGACCCCTTCCACCAAATGGGACACTCACGCTTAATACAGCCAACAAAAATAGTGCAATTTTTTCTCTATTTTCATCTTCAACAGAATTATGTCGGGCTATAGTTCACTGTGCTAGTTCTCAAAATACTACAAACATTGAGGAGAAGTGCATTCAGAAAACTCAGCCACCCCCTTATAGACAACCTCCTCTCACTTCAAAAGTCTCTACTGTTCCAAAGTCTACTTTATTACCAGTTTTTACTAACAAAAGTGATACAGTATCACCCATTGATAGTCCACCAGATGGTATAAGTGTTTTTAATATACAGGACAACGTACCTCCCATGCCTGTGTCTCAGCGATCAAGAAGGCGTTCATTGGAAAGACAGAGTTCTATCCCAAGTGATTTAGCTACAGCTTTTCCAAAATTGTTGATGCTTGCTGCTTTGAGTGAACAAAGTGAACAAGTTTCTTCGTGTGAAGAGTATGGTGATTCTCACAAGTCTACGCCACACCAAAGTATGGAAGAAGATCCTGCAGAATCCATAGAACATAGAGATAAAGATCATTCAACTCTAACAACAAATATAATCAATAATAGGTGGGACTCAGTATGTCTCTTAGCATGCCACTGACTACCTTGATTGCTTTTTATATATTTCTAAGTTCTAATAATGAAAACTGCATGGGTATCCTTGTTCAGAACATCATTACCTTTATTTTTTTGTGATTGCAATAAGTCATAGTAGTGAGGAAACTTGTGAAATTTTCACTATTATTCTCAATATTTTATTTTATTAATTCTTTAAAAAATAAAAATATCATCGCATGATCATCCTCCCCCTTCATGTCAAAAATATATTTACTTCTTTTTTGTTATGTATGATAATGAGTATTTCCTGGCCATTGTGTGTTGTTGAAACTGAGTAACAAGAAAGTATTAGTTAATATTTTAATCTTATTCTTAATTGTTGCATGGTTGTGCCAAAACTGTTTACTGTCTCATTTCTTTTAATTTATACCATAAAAGAGATTCAGGAAATCAAATTAATGTTATTATAGTTTTACAAGATTTTGTATTTGTTATCATCTTCCTAGATGCTTTTTCTTTTTCTGAAAGGGATATATTGAAGACTTTTTTTGAATGCTGCATATTTCATGGCAGACTCATCCATTTTAAGTCAAATGTTTTAAATTAAAAATTAGTCTTAGTTTAGCAAAAACATAATCAGTTTTCTTAGAGATTATAGACTCATATTCAAAAACAAACTCCTATATTCAGGAATCTTACCAACTTCTTTTGTTTATGCCCCACAGTGGTATGTTTGTGGACTTATACTGCTAGAAACCGGGTTTTGATACCTGTGGTGGGAAGAGCACAGATAGCCCATTGTGTAGCTTTGTGCTTAACTACAAACAAACAAATATTTGGTATACAAAGAATTTTGGTCTTTATTCTTATTTTAATTAAAAAAAGACCTGTTTTAATGTAGTGGTGTGTTCTGAATCATGTGTAATCCACCCCAGGTTTCAGTTTATATTTACACCTTTTATACATCTTTCATTTAGTGTTGGTATTGTTGTCAAGCATTTTGTTAAAGCAGAAATTCCTAGGATTTGTTCAGAATGTATTTCAGTATTGAGCATTTAAAGTTGCATATTGCAATACTATTCTGTAAGCTGTATTTCATTATATTTTATGAGACTGTATTTCAAGCATAAATTATTTAATAGTTTTAGGTTACTGGAGATTAAGTTTAGGAGGTGTAACAGACTTCAACTTGTAACAGCTCAAACTTCACTGATTTGTTGATTACTAATGCTACTGAGGCTTTTCACTCACTAACAGAGCTAATTTCACTGGAGGTATCACTCATTTGTCAAAACCAAGTTATATGGAGTATAAGATTAAGCTGTGTAATAGAAGTAATATTATATTACAATGACACTAAGATTAATTTTGTCACAACTCTCTTTATGGACCAAATACAGGTTAATATCATTTTAACTAATCATATTTGTTGTACACAATTGCCAGTGACACCACTAACTCAAAAATATTGTTTCCAATATCAACTTTTATTTTGCAAACCTAGTATTAGCCATAGGCATACTAGCTACAGATCACAAAGGATCTTACAAATAACTCTATAAACTCAACTTCTCCTGCAAATGCTAAACCAGACTGATGAAACCTAAAACATCTGCCATAGATAAGCACAACACCATCATATAGATAATTCTGTTTCAAAAGGGGACAGTGCTTCATGCTGAAAATAGTTAAGGTAGCTTCTTCACATACATTTAGACAAAAAAAACTTATCAAAGAGGAGGTAACTGAAATTTTTAAATTATAGACACTCTATTTTACCTGTTATATAACAAATAGGAACTAATGCAGTAACATATGTGTAAACAAGTAATAAAATGACTTGTATCTTCTAAAAGAGCAAACATAAGTCAGAACAAGATCAAATAGCTTAATGAATTAGATCGACATTCATATCAAGTGATTACGTGTGACAATATTACATATATGTAGCTGCAAATGTGTAAAAGTTTTTATTCTAGTAAAAACTGTTGTGGTATTGCAGATCATTAATACTTATCCCTTTCTTATTATTTTTAGAAACACTTTCTATAAATAGTGTTCAGTAGCCATATATTTTATCAAAGCACTGCTATTTCTCGTAATGCATTGCTTGCTCTATTTCCCAGTTCTCACATTCTTGCTAGAAGTAATGGAGTATAATATAGATAAGTAGATATTTTTCTGTACTGTGAAGTTTCATAAGAACTGAAAGAGGTAATGCAAAATATTCGAGAGCATATGTTAAAATCATGCACCATTTTTCCTGGGATTAGATAGCTAAACACTTGTAGATTGTACTCAATGGTTGATTAATAACAGAAACATTTGTTTTTTACCTCATGAATTTTCATTCAACTGATAAAAAGTGACATGTAGGTCAACCAGGATGTCTTAAAAATGTACATTTGTAACTACACTTTGATCTGTTCACGCAGTACTAATATGTAGAAGTTTTCAAAAAAAATTAACTATATTTAATATAGTATGTTCCCCCCTTTTTGTTTTGTATATACAGTGTGGTCTGTATTACCAATTTCAGTAGAATGTTTTATGGTACAAGAAAGTTCTATTTTATATTCCTCTCTACACTTACACTGATTTAGTTTATATTAAGTTAGTCATAGTATAAAGCCCTTTTGTAAAATACTGTGAATACATTCTGTAGAAATATGTTACTGGTCATGGAACATAAATGGCATAAAAGTAAAACTGTTTAGTAAATGGAATTTCAAAGCAGTCAAACTTTAATATTTGGCTGTTGTCAATAGATTAACAGAAGTTCAAAGGGAAGGTACATCAAAGTGTGTAAGAACAGAAAGACAGGGCGATAGAAAATCAGAAGTTGGAACAGGCAAAGTTCAAGAAACCATCAGACAGGTCTGTTGCAGTAATATTTATAAATGTGTTTGTCATGTTATTTATTCAACTGATTATTGGTAAGTGCTGTTTGTTTTATTGTGCATATTGTATTCCAGATTAATGTAACACAAAGATCTTACTAGTGGTAATTGGAGAATTTTTTGTACAAGAAAGTTTCTTTTATTGTATTATAATTTAACTTGTTCCTACTGAATAGCCCTTGCATGGCCAGGTGGTTAGGACGCTCAACTCGCAATCTGCGGGTCGCGGGTTTGCATCCCCATCCCACCAAACATGCTCGCCCTTTCAGCCGTGGGGGTGTTATAATGTGGCGGTCAATCCCACTATTTGTTGGTAAAAGAGTAGCCCAAGAGTTGGCGGTGGGTGGTGATGACTAGCTGCCTTCCCTCGAGTCTTACACTGCTAAATTAGGGACAGCTAGCACAGATAGCCCTTGTGCAGCTTTGCGTGAAATTCAAAAACAAACAAACAAACAAACCTACTGAATAAAATAGAATTCAGATCTGGGTACAATATGCCTCATATTTGTACAGATATACCTATCACATTTTTTGACTAAATTTATAGTAAAATAATTGTGTAAAATTTAATAAAATCTATTATATGCTATCCATAACTCCATTAAACTTTAACAAAATGAACATTGGCTTTTGATGACACATAGTATTCAGCTACCTGTACATTTTAATGCAATGGGCAGTAGGTCATTTGTAGAGACAGTTTTGGTATTTTTAAGACCAAAAAATTTCAAATTTTTATTGAGCCACCCACAAAAATAACAGAAAATTTCCCAGTTGAGCTAAATATAAATAAAGGAGAAAGCACCTAAAAAGTAACTATACGAGTATGTGCAATGTTCATTTGAACAAATCAATTGGGTTATAAACTTCTACCATGAAAAAAATTGTAAACATTTGACTGTAACACAATATCATCTAGAGACAACCAAGAATTGATCGATAATAATTTTTTTGCTATTTATTGTTCATAAAGGTATTATATTACTAAATCTTCTATGAAAATCAATTCAATAAGAAATCTAGATATAGTATTGATAGACTTTAGTTTCAAAACATACTTACCTCCTCTTACACTACAGCTATTACTAACTGCCAGGGTTTCTTCCTTTGCCCATCTAAGCATTGGTCTGATTTTTCTAACTTGCTCCAGTCTTAATTTCCCTTGGCAATATTTGTCTCGTGACACTCTCCACCTACATCAATGTACCCTATATCCTGGTACTGTATATAAGCACCTCATTCAGATAATATTATCACTTTTTCTCGACAAAACGTCCACTGATGGATTTCTCCATACTATGATTGTTGGAGATACTTTAAGTGTTCTTTGTGTTACCTAATTGATTTTCATTTTAAAAAGACTATTTTTCATTTGCCAAGCCAATATATGCCATGATTTCCCAGATTATTATTTCCAGCATGGAAGCAAATCAGGTTTCTCCTATCCCACCTCTGCTCTGGTATTTAGCATCACCCAACAATTGGTGAGGGATCACTCTCAGTTGAGATTGTCAGTGATTTTATTCGTAGTGATATATGGTTCAGTCGTATTCCTTGGGGGGGGGGGGGCTCTGATGCTGCAATTGAGGGCAATCTTGGACATTCCGGAGAGAATTTAGATTCACTTTTTCTGTGCCTTCCTTTATTCTGTTGGCTTCTCAGGAGGCCTCTTTGGAATAAGCTGCCTCAGGCTTGTTTTTCTTCCTTCACTTGGTCCATCAAGTGTGTGATGTAATGGGTCTTTCCCCAATTGCTTTTGAGCCTACACCCTACTTGATTGCTGAAAGGTCTAGGAGCGAATACTTGGTTTTCTCTCCATCCACTGACATTGTGGTTTATGCAGGGATGTTTACTGCTCAGTTATGTGAAGGGACAGCTATGCCTTGTCTGTCATGGTTGTCAGAACTACGTGATTTAGCCTACCACCACCAGGTGGAAGCTTATTCCAACTCTCAAAGAATATATCTGCTCATGGAATTTTGGTGTTCTAGAGTGGAGTCTATAGTTAATCTGGATAAATCACAACTTTCTAGGAATTGTCTCTCCCTATATACTGTGCCAAGTTATTTATTATCCCTCTAAACTTTGTTGGAAGTCCCTCAGGATCACCAAGTCCATTGATGACGAGCTGGGACCATTGTGAGCATGCACATTGGTTTGATTGTCAGCTTCTATGTTCATCCCTGTTGTCGTTGGTATCTCAACTTTCCTCGGCTCCTACAGGGGGTAATAGTTCCGCCCATATTCAAGGGTTCTAACCCCCAACATCAGCCCCTTGGTCATTTGTACCCAAAATAGATTCTGTCCATATCCAAAGGTTTTGCTGGTCTGTGGGGGCTCGACTCCGAGAATTTCTGGACGTGTGGTAAACCTTAACCACGGATCCATGGATACTACAGATCCTTAAGTCAGGATTAGTCATTCAGTTCACATCTTCACCACCATTATCCATCCAACCTACAGTGTTCCCATTTCAGATTTTGGAACTTAGTGCTTGGGCTATCAAAGTTTGGTTGTTATTGTATTTTGGCCCTTGTGTATAAAGTTAAATTCATAAATAATATTTAACATTAAAACTGGTACACAATTAAAAAGATTTTATTTAGGCCTATCTATGGCCTTCAAAAAGTTGACGTTGCAACGTTGAAACATGTAGAGTCATCAACTTTTTGAAGGCCATAGATAGGCCTAAATAAAATCTTTTTAATTGTGTACCAGTTTTAATGTTAAATATTATTTATGAATTTAACTTTATACACAAGGG